AGCTAGTGAATATGAGTGAGTTGGTGTTAAACTTAAATGACATGGTGAAAATGCTGAGTACCATTAATTGCTTCATAAGTTTTAGTCGTCTCCAGAGGCAGTTTCTGCTTTTTCCCCTTCCCCTTCATGTTGAATTTTGCCATCAACCGGTTGGTAAAGAGCCTAAAGAAACAAATGCACCATTTAAAAATTACATGTGTGGTAATCTACAGCTGTAGCATGGGTGAATGTGCTAAGAGTGGACTCAAGAGATGTGGTTTTGGACACTGTAGTTTTCTGAAATTGATTAAACAAACCTCTGGGAGGTGACCATTTGATAGCTCCAATGACATTCTTTCCCTGCACCTGTCAGACCCCCTCCTCTTTAACTTCCACGTCAGGTTTCTATGCAGTCTCATGATTGCATTTCAGATAATTCAAGTCTGTGTGAACTGGAATTTGCTGCTGACTTCATTTCAGTACAGTGACGTATTTCCAACTAAAACAGAATATTAAATAGCAGGGATGGTTTTATTGTAGTGCTCCTCCTCTCCATCTCACTCATAGCAAACTAACGGTTGGAGGGACGTGGTTAAGGATATTCTGCCCAATCAGACTGACATCATCATAGAAGAAATGAAATTCCAGAGCAGAAGCAAATGGTCAGATTTTGATTAAAGATTGCCAAGAAAAACTATTTTTTTTAGTGGATTAACTTGCAAAAATATAATTTCACATTTTTTTTCAGGAAAATCACAATTACGATTTTATCACGATTCTTTGTCCACATTAACACCCATTTCTCATTATAGCATATATTATCCCTTGTCATTAGACTTATAAAGTCCCTAAATACATATTTCCTCCATTTGAAGACTGTCCCAGATTACCCAAAGCATGCTGTCCCACATTCTCAATCATATTTGATAATGTGGGACAACAAAAAAATGTTTGAAAGAAATAAAACTAAAACACATTTTCAACACTTTAATACATATTTTGTTGCTTGAATAGATCACAAACATAATTTGACAAAATTAGGAACATTGTATTATTTATGACAGATTTATGTCTGCTTAAACAGAAACTTACCTTCTTAAGCCTTGTGCTTTAACCTGAAAGAGATAAAGAAGAATATTCGTTATTACAAAACTATTATATCTTCATTGAATCAAATGAGAATTACTCCGATATGTCGCTCTGAAATGAAATGTACAGATCAGATTCAGTTCAAGATTACTGACACTGCTAAGTGTTTTATATTTTAAATGTTGCACTCCACCACTGGCGCCAAACCCATAAGTTACTCTCCTGGAACACTTAAAGCACCTTAAAATGTCTTAATATGCATAAAAAATTAATTGTGTTACTTTTCGGTCTTCTGTCCGACTATATGACACAATGATTGATTATCCAGACATTATTCATCATCATTATCCAGACTTAAGCGTTTATGTGATACTAACAAGATATATTAACCATGGACATTTAACCTGCAAAATGTGCGTCCACGGTCGCGAAGTCTCATGGAAGGTTAATTGGTTATGACCATATTATTATACTATATTAGAGTAAAAATATTGTTTCAAAACATGCTGACACCAAGACATCGGGTCGGGATATTTGCTTGCGTCAATGTGATGGGCCTGAATGCCCGCGCAAAATGCCGCCGTTTTTAAAAAGTATTTTCAGATATTGATCGGGCATGATGTCATATAAACGTAACTGTAAAACTCATAAAATTGATTGTTTTTACTTACCTGTTTGCTTTATTCGAATTGTATTCGAATTCACGGCAATGTCAGCAGTCTCGATCGATCGTACTTCTGCAGGATCAATTTTTATGTTGACGTTACGTGTGACGTCACTGACGTGGCGATTATGAATCAATTTCGATACGCTGCTAAGTAGAAGCCAGAGACAGCTGTTCATTTATTTTGGCACTGCCCTTATGTGTCTTTTTTTGGCGAAATGTACTTGATTTTATTGCTGACAATGTTGACGAAAATGTTACTTTACAGTGGAAAGATGTTCTTTTAGGCATTATTGAAAACTCTAGATATAAACAGACCCACACTTTTTAAAAAAATTTTTATTATTATTTTAATGACCAAATGTCATATCCATAAATGTAAATTTTCAGGAAAAAAAATCCATGTTTTATTGCATTTAAAAATGAAGTGAAGCATATAGAGACCATATTGCCCTCAAAGAAACAATTAAAGCTGTACCAGTTGTGCA